GCAGCAATTCTCTTCCTTACAAGTTTCCTCTTGACCCGCTTGACCGCAGCGCTGCAGTTCGAAAACCTGCAAATGAAAAAATAAGCTCAGTTCAGTGGAAAAAAGCCCTCACCTGCGTGTGACAGGTACAGTGCCATTTCCTGCTCCTGCTGCATGCTGGGAAATAGACCCTGGATGTGTTAATTACCTCGTCTGACCCGATTCCCTCCGTGTGAGTGTCTGGCGCGCGACAGACGGCGACAGTGATCTGTCACATGGGGCTGCAGCCTCGCGTGCACGTGTGTGTGCACGTTGTGTACATGTGTGTGTTTGTGGTGCTGACAGCTCTGTCGGTTGTCTTCCTGCAGTCCCAGCTGCACACAATGATCACGTCTACGTTCGCTGCTGTAACCTACACACACAAACAGCTCACCTGTCAATCATTTCGCCTGGAATTCCCACTGCTCTTCCTCACTTTTCGCTCCTCCCTTCTTCGTATTTTACCTTCCTCTCCCCCCATCCCTCCACTCTGTCTTTCATCATTCTGTTATTTTTCTTTCCTTTTAAAGAAACTGTCTGTTGCCCTGAAACTGGGTCTTTTTCCCTCCCATGGGTCTCTGATTTTTTTTCCTCTCTCCTCATTGCCTCTCCGCTCTTTCTCCCTCCCACTCACATCTTTGCTGATAGATTAAATGTTGAAGGCAAGGTCTGGTGGAGAAAAAGTCTCTCTTAATTGTGTTGATCGCTAATTAGCCGGCCTGTCTCGTCTCTCAGCGGTGGACGTGGTTAAAGCAGGATGGCCTTTCCTGGGTCAGCGGGTCGCGGCCTCGTGCGTAACACGCAATCAGTCACACGTTACTTTGTGCCACCGAGATTCCAGTTTGCCTGCCAGCTTGTGGGTTTCTCAGTGGAGGCCGGTGACTGAAGAAGTTTAGGAGGGCAGGTTGAATCTGTAGCTGTGCAGTAAAAAGGGGTTTTTGGCTAAAAATACACGGTTATGTAAGTAAAATGTTCCAAAAGCCCGGGGTCCGCCACCTCCTGTGCTCCCCCGAGATCGGCCTCCCTTCTTATCCAGCCATCGTATCGCTATTGACTGTTGGCTGTCTCGCATTTTAAAGGTTTTAATATTTTAAACCACAAGAATCAAGCAATCGCTCTGCCTTTCAAGACAGAAAGTAACAGCAGCGATGTTAGAAGATTAAAAGCACGTTTTATTTGGGATGTGACAGAACCTAAATGCAGTCGTCCTTTCAAGTGGTTCAGTGGACAGCGCGTCATAAACGCTGCCTGGATGAGGAGCTCCGGTCCCACCGGGTCCAGCTATGTTAAAAAACAAACGCACTCATGAATGAAGCCGCCCGGCTAATGGCACACGTTACATCATATCACCCTTACTAATAATAGAAAGCTATCAAAGGGTCGCCGTTTTTACACTCTGGATGATAATGTAGTAGAAGCTGGCTATTTTTTTCCTCATGCTTTGTTAATCTATGTGTGTGTGAGATGATCTTTGATTGTTTCATTTATTTCATTTCATTATTTATTGGAGGACATGTTTCGATCTGTGTCGCCCCCGATGCCTTTCACAAATATAACACAGGCCGCACAAAGCCATCGTTAAATATTCTTGGCTCCGGCTCAATGCTCTCACAGAGAATTCTTTCAGAAAGTACAATACGATACTTTCAGAAAGAAATCAAATAATAATTTCTTTCTGAAAGAATTGAGCCGGAGCCAGCTGGTGATAATTAGATTAGCTCTGCAGAAACGATCGGAGGACGGGGCAAACATTTAGCTCTGTCTAAAGTTCAAAAATACATCTACCAGCATCATTTGTTTAATTCATTCACTATGCAAAAACAGCTAGTTAAGCTTTAGGGAGAATTACATTTACAATTAAGCCTAAAATGCTTCACACCAAAGCCCAATTTTGTTGTAAAGTGGATTTTCATGTAATTTCTTCTGGATGTCAATGATACATGTTGACTAATTTTTCAATGTAGAAACTAGGGGTGAGACTTTAACGCATTAATTACCATTAATTAATTACAACAGAAGTAATGCGTTGAAAAAATTTGTCACTATCCAGGACTGCTAGCGCTAACAGCTCCGGCGGTTTCTGTGCTCGCTGCTTTGTTTTCAGGTGGTACCGTCAGCTCGATGTGCTTCGGTGGGATGCACATTCTTTTCAAGTGGCACAAAACCACGCTCTGGTCAAGGTTTCCATCAGGCAGTTTTATAAAATGAAACTTTCCCTCCATCAGTCCAAGCGATGTACTCTCATCGGATTCCTCCATGTTTGTTGTTGTTACCGTAGCGCTGACGTATCTTGTGCATCACTGTGATTGGTGGACCACTTGCAAACGTTCCATGTTGTCTGGATGCTCGGGCTGGTCTGAATAGCAATTTCTGTTCTCTGAATATTCGGCCCCAATTAATGACGAATATCCCGAATATTTGCGGGTGCCGCACGGTGGTGGCGGCTGGGTATTTGTTCCGACGGGGGTGACGCACAGGCAGCATTTGGCCACTAAGACCAGTTTAGGCTAGCGGTCACGGCACCAGGGGGTTGATATCCTGATTTCAGCACAGCAAACGAATAGTCGGCTATTCAGGTCCAGCCCTGCAGCCCTACTGGATGCAAACTGCGATTAAATGCGTTAATTTTTTTAATGCGTTATTTTTGTTGGAATTAATTAATCGGAATTAATGCGTTAAAGTACATTAGGGGTGGGACTTTAATGCGTTATTTATGTGTTTATTAACGTGTTAAAGTCCCACCCCGAGTAAAAACATTCTTTTACCAAAAACTCAAAATACCATTTCTACAATTATTCATGCCTCTTGAAATGGCTTCATTTTTCCTGTTCCATTCTAAATGTCCCTGTTCATTTCTATCACATTCTACAGCGTTCTAATTTACTATAAACTGACAACAGCTGATGCACTGGTCGAGACAGTTACTAGTCGGTTGCAAGTCATGGCTAAACCGAAGAGCTTAGTGAGCTGGTTTTAGGGTCCAGCTGGGCTGCTCGCAAGACATGAAAAGGCTATGAATGCATATTAAAGTGTTTTCAAGTGCCAGTAGCTGGAATACAAAAAAGAAATACAAGGAGTTCATACTGGAATTTGAAGAATTTGGTATATAGTGGTTAATTCTGGGCCTAAGTGCATCCATCCATCATCTATACACCGCTCAATCCTCACTAGGGTCGCGGGGGGACTGGAGTCTATCCCAGCTGACTCAGGGTGAAGGCAGGGGACACCCTGGACAAGTCACCAGTCTATTGCAGGGCTCTGGGCCTAAGTGTTTATGCAATTCAGTTCAATTCAATTTTATTTTATTTGTATAGCGCAGTTAACACATGTTATCACACAGTGCTTAACAAAGTACGGTATAGACTTTACAAATGTAAACACAGAACCCAACAATCCAAAGTAGTGTTTGGACTTCCTTTGAGCAAGCAGTTGGCAACAGTGGGAAGGAACCAAAACCCCCCCAGGGGAGGGGGAAACAAACCTCCGGCAGAACCAGGATCAGGGAAGACGGTCATCTGCCTCAACTGGTTGGGTGACAGTGGGGGAAACAGGATAGCAGATGGAGAGCACCAATAGAGCAGAACAATAAATATGAATGTAAGTATTTTGGGGGTCGGTGAGGCCAGCGGTTGGAGGTCATGGACGTGAAGCTCTGGATCTAGAGACGTCCACAGGGAGCACAGGACAGGACCTCGGGGGGAACACAGATTAGTGACATGTAACGGTGGTTCTAACTGTATGGAAGGACGAGAGAGGAGAGGAGCCCAGTACATCAGCAACTACAAGTCCAGTGCAGTGATGAGCAAACTAGTTTATCATGAAGAAACCTGGTTATGCTCCATAACTCCCCTCAAAACCACATATTTTCATGTTTGTTAAATAAAACATGCGGTGTTCGTAAGACCAAGTTGTTGGTAGGTATACTTTTAACTTCAGACAAAGCCGGGCTAGCTGTCTGTTTCCATAAGCTTCCACCAGCTTTTAACTCAGCCCCACGCAGTCCTGGGGATCTTGCAGTCGAGTTCCTCCATATCTCAATGATGCATCACACATTTTTTTTTTTAGCAAATAGGAAGAGTAACTTCAAATGAGACAATCTTGCTGTACTGTTCCTCATGAATTTTAAAGTATATTGACCTTGGCTGATACGTGTTCTCTTTACGAATCAAACCGTTCCCTGCATACACTTTGCACAAAGCGCACCAAAGTCAAGGCCGATAGCTTTTTAGAAAGTTCAGATGACACACATTTACGTGTCAGTGATAGTACGAGATAAGCGTTTTTATGTGGAGTTTGAAGATCAAACGGCCCGTGCAAATCAAAGCGCAGATTACTGGAATTCATTCAGAAGTCCTGAGTAAAAATAACTACTCAAACCCAGTGAGCTGATTCAAAGAGACAGAAAACATTCCTCATCTTTGAAACTGTCTGTGCAAACACTTATGACACAGTTTGTGTGTTTAAATAGGACAGCATCATCAGGATATTAGCTTCAGAGGGAGGACGGCGAGGTAAATAATAAACCGTGTCGTGTCCAGGAATGTGTCGGAGAGGCCAGTTTGATCAATTTCCCATCAGTCGTCTTAAACAAACCATTCAGCTGCACTAAGTTTTGCCGAGCTGGATAATATTTTTACCTCCCGTGTTGAATTCTTCTTTGCAGGAACCGTCTCTCCTTGCTGTCACTTCGCTGTCACTCACGCCAGGATTTAGCTTTTCTCTCGTTTTTCTCTTTCCTCCCTGTTTATGAGGAATTTGAGTCATTTTCAGACAGTGCGATGCCATGGCTTACCCTGTTATTTTCCTTTACCAGCCAGCCGACTAATCACACTGCAGGAGAAGGAATTTCAAGCGAGCGTTCTTTGCCGATCCAAAAATGACTTGTTAGCAATACTCATTAAAAACCGCTGGGTTTTATCGGCGGCGGGCTCAGTCGTCGTGGATGCTAACGAGCTTTTCTCTGTCTCTGTGTGTCGTTTCAGTCATCTGGAGTCGGAGCGCAGCGTCCTGAAGAGGAGGGAGTGGGAGAGGAGGAACCAGGAGGTCCAACAGGATGAAGACCTGTTCTCGACTGGATTCAACCTGTTTGGAGAACCCTACAAAGTAAGAGCAGCCCATTGTTCACAGTGAGATCATTCAATAATCAATCACGCTTAAAATATGGGGAAATATGCTGTTTTTTTACACATCTTTGGAGAGACACAGATGAGAAACTATAAATAATGACATTTTATCAACATTTTTACTTTTCTGTCTGTGCATAACTACAAATGGATAAAACCTGTAAAGGTGTTGGTAAGTTAAGTGTGTTTTGTTTTCAGAGAGCCATTCTAAAGCTAACTCTTCATGTTCAAACTTGAGCTCTGTACATGACGGCACCTTCTCAGCTGAAGCCTCTTTAAGACATCCACTTGTTTCCACTAATCTGACAGAAAGTTGGTCAGTTTGCATTTTTTGTAAAAATCAAACTACGTTGAACCTCGTAGCCTTTCTGTGTCGCTATTAACACGTCACAAATCTGAACTGCACGTAGTTGCATCAACAGATGGCAACCAGAAGTGATTTAGGAAGGACGTTTTCCACCTTTTAGAACCAACATTAAGATAAGATAAGATAATTATTTATTAATCCCCATAGGAGACATTTGGGCATTGCAGCAGCACAAGGCAGTGGCACACAAAAGAATACGATAGATAAAAATATAAAAAGTATATATACATATATATATATACACACACACACATATATATGTATGTGTAAAGAAAAAAATATGTACAACTAAAGTTCATGTGGCAAATCTAAAGTGATTTTAGTGATGTGAAAAGTGACCATACAATTCTAATTAGAGCAGCAAAGTATTGCAGTTTGAGCAGTGCAACACAATGATGGAAACCAACACATGGACAATATTGGTCCAAAAACATCACAGAAGCACAAAAGACACAGTTTGCATGTAGTCTCTATTGCTGCTGCTGGGGTTTGATTTCAGCTCATTTTGCTGCGTATCACCTCCTCCATCAGCTCTGTTAGAATGACAAGACATAGAAATAATGAACATAATCCAGGTTTTAATAAAGTGTTAACAGCAGCTCATGTTCAGTGTTTTGCTTCCAGCTGTTTGTAGGAGTCTTTCCTCTGAGTTTATTAAATCCCTGCAGCATCAAACAGCACCAGGAGCCACATGAGCACATTTGAGGAACATCATTAATTGGAGAGTTCATTTGCAAAAACAGAAACTCCATTTCTGTAGATTTTCAGAAAACTTGTTTTTTGTTGTGTACTTGAGACAATATCGATGAAACTGAAGCTGAGTGGATTTGACGCAGTAGAAATGACAAAAATGGAGATAACTAAAATTGGATTGATATTGTCTCAGGTAGACGATGGAGAAGTTGGTTTCCTGAAGGTTTGTGAAGATGGAGTTATCTGTTGTGTAGATGAACTCTTTAATTGTTTCTAATTAGAAATTACTAAATTGTCCCTGACATAGCGACAGGATGCCTCAACAGGATCCATCACACATCGACAGGATTTTCCCTGTTTAGGAAATCCTGAATAAAGCAGGTTATTAGTGGTTTGGACAGTCTGACAAGCTGCTTTTAGTTTGGTTTTAGCCTTTTATTAATGATGTGACACAAATCACTTGGTGTACTGACTAATCTCATGTTTATGACAAAAATCAAATATGGCTGAATGGAGCCACATCTTTGTCTAAATAAGAGAATTCAAGCACTTCAACAAATTGATGGAACCTCCATTAAATCTTGGTATCAACAGCGTATTTCACAAACGCAAATTAAAAGCCAACTTCTTATCGGTTTGAATTTAAGGACTGAAGCTAACAGGAGCCTCTGAGCTAACGCCGGCGAGCTGCACAGTCGGGTTGTAAAGACGATTCTTCCTCCACAGAGTGCTCTCTCATTGCTGTTGAGGAGACAGTTTTATATTTCGCTGTTAAGTTTTGATTGATCTCTGCAGGAGGAGAAGTGGACATACCTGACACCAGAATTTCATTTGGGGAAATGGAGTGAATTTACAACGTCTTAATCAGTGAGGAAGTGCCACTCTGGTCTGAAGCGGCCCCCGTGTTGTGATTTAGGCTCGCGCCAAACCATTTTTGCCGCGTGCAAGCAATCAATTGAGAGGAATTGTTATGGCTAACCAACAATTATCCAAACATTCTTCATGCCATTTGCTGCTGTCTTTGTGGGTGACAAAGCAGATGATGTAACCACTTCCTCCTCGTGTTCTTTCCCCCCCGAGGCCAAACGCGTTATATCCTGAGGCATAAGGTTCTGTTCTGCTCTGTTTGGAGGTGCTTTAGATGCCATCATTTTGTCTCTTCCTTTAGCTGAAAGCGAACTAGCCATGCATGAAGTCCATGGCCACTCTCCTGCCCCTGTGTATAAAATTGATTTTGGTTTGTTAACTCTCATTTGCTACCGCCGGGCACTTCAACACTTGGTTATGCCGCCAAGTGTATCGACCTTGAGACGGACCGGCTTTGAATCTTGACAGAATGTGTTTAACTGCTGCTGTGTCTGAACGCAGAGGACGCGAGGGGATTCTCCCGAAGACGCCGCTCGCCGGTTCGGGGTGGGGGCGGCGGCGGAAGCAAATGAGGGGTTGTTCTGATAATGAATCCAATCCTGGGTGCCTCCACGCTCGCCGACTAATTGTTTCCGGCTAATTAATGGTGCCGAGGTGAGGTCAAGATGTGTGTGAGAGCAGAGAGGCTGGATGACTGTGGGCTGGCCTCTGTGTGAAGGGTTGAGCCTTCAGACGCCGCCAGAGTCATGCATGTTGAAATTATAAAAACAGAGTGATGTGAGTTGGTTGGTTGGTTGCTCTGGACTTGTACTGGTGGGATGAACTGGTTATGGTGTCACTCCCAGCTGGCCGCATCCAGACACTTTGTCAGGACCCCTTGGCGCCACAATTTAATGCACTCGGTACCCTGTAGCGGCATTTTCCAACGTGCAGGTTGGTGCAATCCACCTAAAGAATTCCCACAATGTCAGAAATCGACACCGTGAAGCCGTAACCAAATGTTCTCCGCTGGTGTCGTCACTGTCGGGCTGTGAGGCGTTTGCCTTGCTGTTGTATGAGAGGGTGTATTTTACCTTCTTAAACCAAGGAGATTTGGTGCCTTAAATGAACCCAACAGCAGGAAAAAAATAAACTTAAAACCAACAAATAAATGGAAACCGAGGCTGTAAAGCATGTGACTCACTCCATTGTGTTGCTGCAGGTGGAAGAGGTGCTAAAGGACGCCTTGTACATACCTGTGAGGCAGCAGCAGCTATGACAACACAGCAGCATTTGACACCCTGGGAATGAGAATAGGTTGATGAGCGACGTTTTGTGCTTCATCTGGAGACACTAAGGCATTTTTTTTATGTGTCAGAGCCACAGCGACGTTACAAACTGGTCAAAGCAGCACAGGAGTCCACATTAACTCCTGATTATTTGGTTACACATGAAATCTGATAAACCAACGAGACGGTTCCTCGATCTTGTGGCCTTGTCCTGTAGAGGAAACTTGTGTAAGCTTGTTCATGTTGCAGTTGGTTTTTAAAAAGTTTTATCAGATTCCTTTCATTTCTTTTTACTGTGTTAAGGCAGCATAGCCTGGGTAAGAATCAGAATCAGGTGGATTATCCCATCATGGGGAATTAGCAAGACTGTAATTTTTATCATCAATACATCAGACTATTGTGTTGTATGATTTTCTTCTTCTTTTGTTATTTCCTCCGCCAAGGAGGATATGTTTTAGTCGGCGTTTATCGGTTTGTTTGTGGTTTGTTTGTTAGCAAGATAACTTGATAACTGTTGATGAAACCTGGATTATGTTCAATGTCTACATTTTTTATTTCTTTATATTTTTGCTATCATCCGTTTCTGTGCATGACAGATAAAGTACTGTTAACATTAGAGGCACCTGTTAAAGCTGCCGTGTGCAGTTTTGATCAGTAATAGCACAATGGAGCGAATGGCCTCTTTGTGAAATAAAGAGATTAAAAAAGTGCTTCATGCAAGTTTGGTCACCAGGATGCACAGGAGATTTAGTGACAACCACTAAATGTTAATTTTGCTTTTGTCTGCTTACATAAAATCATCACAGAGCAGCTTTAATGTTGAGGTTTGTGGTTAATAAAAAAGCAGATATTACCTGCAGGTCTGTGATGACACCAAACCTTCTGCACTGGCGCCAACCGTTGATATTAAATATAAATTCTAAGCTGAGCAGTTGTTCTCTGTAGCGGAGGTTTTCAACATCTCTCATTAATTACAGTCATTGCCTTAACAACTGTAATTGAAGGTAAAATAATTCAGATAAAAGGGGTTGGGCTTGGGTCACCGCATCATTTATAGAGGACAACATGTTTACTAGTTTAACATTCCAGCTTCTTCCCAACTCATCTTCTTCCCTCCGTGCACTTCCCCGCTTTATCTCTCGCTGCTGCTGCTGCTGCTAAACTTGAAAAACGGCTTTGGCACACCTTGCTACTTTCTTCTGCTGATTTATTTGCCACGCGAACAATTTCATTTTTTTTTTTTTTTCCTTTTCTTCATACCTGCTTTACTTCATACAAGTCAGCGGCTTTAGCACTGCCTGTACAACCTCACGGCACTTTATCCACGCCGAACTGTAATTATCACGTATGGAATTTATCGAGTCGTAATCACTTCTGGTCTCTTTCTTTTTTGACTTTTTCCTTTTCCGTCTGTACCTGAGTATCAATCGTGTGTCCATCACTGCCTGCCTCTGTCTTCCTCCCTCCCTCTCTCCAGTATTCATTCTCTCTGTCAGCTATTAGCTAATCCCTCTTCTAATCCTGTTAAAGAGCGTTATGCTGTTAGCAGCTACTTGGGATGATCTATTCACACACACACACACACACACACACACACACACACACACACACACACACACACACACACGTAGGTATTCATCCTCTCCTTCTCCTCTGTTTTCCATTTTGCCTCTCTGTAAATGTGTTTTCTGTTCCTCTTCAGCCACCAGATCTTTTATTCATGAGCCCGAGATGGAGAAGAGATGGGCTAATTTATTCACAGCTAACTTTGGCTCGCCACGGTGTGTGTAGTGTTTGTGTGCGTGTGCGAGTGGTGTGTGTACACGCAGAAATTACATCTGTTAAGATTATTTGAATGCAATTCTGTCCTTTCTTGTAGGAATCTTTTGTAAATAAGGCTTGATTCTTTGCCCTGTTTCATTTTTTTTTTTTTTCGGGGGGTATTTTCATGCCTTTCCAGCTTTATTAGAGTGTAAAAAAAAATAAAAGAAAGAAGGATACAGTGAGGTAGCTTCCAGTCAGGTTTGAGTTGAGGTTTTTGTGGTGCACAGAATCAGACGGATTAGTCATCGTAAACTCAGGACGAGTACTAGCAGCATGAACCTGGGATTGTTCTCGGCTCTGTGAGGTTAAAAAATCCAAACTGCATACCATATTTCAAACATAGATTTCCTTCTGTTCTTCCCCTTCGAAGCTTGAGAAGAGTCGAAGTGGACGTTCTTAACCCGGAAAGCATTTTAGCGGCGGATTTAGGAGGCTCATCTGACTATTGATTGTGGTGTAAGCGAGAGCGTGTAAGAGGTAAAAGCAGAAGTTATGTCACCGCTAGACCGATCTAATTGGGAGAGGAGGAGTCGTTGCATAAATCAGACGAGATCTCCAAAGGAGCTCCAGCCTGCTGCGAGTATCTGAAGAGCTGAAGTGACTGCCCAGGTTATAAGCAAGTGTTTTAATAAGCAAAGCTGGAAATGTTCAAAGGCGGAGACGGTCAAGACTCGCTGCCTGTGGCTTCTGAAGTTTTTTTTTTTCTGTATGATGATAGTAAACTGAACCACTTGGGGGGTTTTTTTGGGCTGTTGGTCGAACAAAAGGTTTCATTTTTGCTTCTTGAGAAACTGGGAAGGCGGTGTTGGTCGACTGTTGATGGACTGGTCCACCGCTTTGGCTCAGACTGAAATATCTCAACAAATATTTAATCAGTCGTGAAAAGAAACCAAGGAGTCTAGTTAACCCCATTCAGGACGTTTGGACCCCAGTCCATTTGGTTTAGGTGATGTTTTTAGTTTTGATGATTGTAAATATAAAAAGAGGAACATTTGGAACCAAAAATACGTCAACTAATCAGAACATTTATTTAACGTATATAAAAGTCTTTAATTAATACCAACAAATATTTTGCACATATTCTTTCTTGGGGCTGCAAGGTGGCTCAGTGGTTAGCACCGTTGCCTCGCTGCTAGAAGGTCACCAGTTCATGTCCGAGTGAGAACACCCGGGATCTTTCTGTGTGGAGTCTCCATGTTCTCCCCGTGCAGCGTGGGTTCTCTCCGGGTTCTCCGGCTTCCTCCCACACAGTCCAGAAACATGTTGAGGTTAATTGGTGATTCTAAATTGTCCGTAGGCGTGAATGTGAGTGTGTTTGGTTGTCATGTCTGTCTTCTACGTAGGGAAAGTCCTGAATAGGGTTTAATACAGAATTTAGGTGCTTTATTGAAGCATTTTCATTTTATGCTATTTTATACTTTCACTAGATTTTAGAGGAAAAATTGTACTTTTTCCTTCACTACATTTTTCTGACAACTTTAGTTACTTTTCAGGTGAAGATTTTACACAATAGGTAATATAACACGTTTTAAAAAATACAAGCCATTGTTACAGATTAGTGGTTTCCGACTTTTTTTTTTGGTTTCCTACAAAAAGCATTGTGTAGTTCGGCCACATTTCAGAGCTTCACCAAATACTGATTTTTCCATCTAGACTTCACACATGGTTTCATTTCAATGAAAGATCCGAATTCTCAGCAAAAATCAAAGATTAGGAGAAAAACAGAACTGTGTTTTTTCTTCTTTATTCTCCTATTAGTCATGGTTTAAGCCTTCGGCTTTATCTGCTGACCCTGTATATACAACTGTAAATAAATGAGTCTAAACTAGCTCCACCTGCAGCAGCTACAACACTAACATCGACTATTTAAGTGTATTTTGATGCTAACTCTGGTGTACTTTCTCATCAGTAAGACTGTTGTGGACTTTTGAATTGCTGTGTTGTTGTTTTTTTACTAAGCAGAGCAACAAGATGCTGCTTATCAGCTACAAAAAAAAAAAAAAAACAAGGAAGAACACCACCAGGGCATCAACAAAAAACAGAAGAACAAACAATCCCAGCAGCCAGCAGGGCTGCAGCATCAAGAAGAAGCAGCCACCAGAAAAAGCAACCAACCAACCAATAACCAAAAAACAGCTAAACCCCAACAAGGGCAACAAAAGCCGGCCCAACCGAACCAAGGGGAAAGGAAGGGAAAACCTGGACAGGTCACCAGTCTATCACAGGACTACGAACCAGCAACCTTCTAGCTGTGAGGCAACGATGCTAACCACCGAGCCAACGTGCAGCCCCCAGTTTAAACATGTGTGGCTGAATTCCTCCAATATGACAATTTGCTGCTTTGTTGCAAAGATTAGTTTGACAGTGTTGACAAAGTAGAACTGTTGGTGAGCTGGTGTGCTCGAGCTGCAGTGAGTTGAAGGGGTGGATGGAGAGAGGCGGGGACTTCATAAATCTAAAAGTGCCAAGTTACATTTAAGCAATGTTAAGACAGGAAAGGATTATTTTAATGGAAAAAAATGTAAATATGTGAGTTTTTATGGGTTTAATCAGTGAAGTAAAGGATCCACCGCTGTGTTTGATGTGTTGTCATGTCATTCTGTGCTTTTATTCTTGAGCACCATCATTATGTCCATTACTTTGGTTCATGACTGAATGCTATTTGTAAATGCTAGCATGCTAACAAGCTAAACTAGCATACCTTACACCTGCCAAACACACTCGGATTTTGACTGCAAGCACGCTAGCATGCTAATATTAGCATTTAGGTCAAAGCGCCGCTCTGCCTTACAGAGCGGATAGCATCACTGTTTGTTCTGTTTCATTACTGTTTTTGTTGATTAATCAGTTAATCAAGAAATAATTGTCAGGTCGCGTTTAAGATTAGCGGCGCTCCAGCGTTTCTGATGTTTGTGCGACTTGCCAGAATCCAAAACATCCGTTTCAGCACCACGCGCTTCATAGACTCCTGTCAAACCAATCTGATTATGAAAAAAGGCCACCACAATATAGCAATTACCATCAAATGGTGCTTACATGGCCCTCTATTAGAGCAAATATCGGGGTGGTGTTAAACTAATTTGTAATGTTGTGAAGTGCTCAACATGCACACACACAGACACTTAGAAATCCCTCCTCAGCAATAAGACCTCTCCATGGATCATTGCATGTTATTACAGTATTATTTGGTTGTTGACTGAGGCTGTTTGCGTCGGAAAAACAAAACCACACACACACAGAGAAACACACAAACACATCGCCGGGATTCCTGCGTTTTAGAGAAGAATGAAAGATATGAATGATGCTCATTAATTGGATTTAATGATTTTAACTAAGATTTGAGATTGTTTTTATGCTGAAATTAGATGTAGTTTGAAAATCAATCACGCACAGCTACGCGACAGCGAACGTGATTTCTAGAAACATTACCTGAGATTAGTGAAGCTCTTCCTCCCTATGAGCCCAAATTCATTATTCATGAATTCATTAAGCGCCTTCAAATACAGGGCAATCCCGTCCTGTCCTGTAGAGTAGAAGTAGATTTCACTCCTTCTCATGCTTCAGCCTTTAAAGCTTCTGCACTCGTGTTTGTTGCCACACCGTCGCTCCTCTTTATGCCTGAGAACGTCTATTGACCAAACCACCAAACTGATGTACAATAAAATTACAGGGCCACATTTCACATTGATCTTACTCAGTGTTTCCATTGTTCATCATTTGTCTGCGCTCGGTGATGAAATGTCACGCTTAAATTATAGGCCGTAGATCTTGCATAATTCAAGCTCGGCTCGTGATTAATATTTGCTTCACAATTTGTTGCTCAGGGAGAAAAAGAAATGTCAGTTGGACGGGGATAAAAATCTACTGGTCTTCACTTTTTTCCTCCTCCTCCTCCTCCTCTTTTTTATGGCATTTTGCAAGGATCTGCTTCCAAATATAGAAGTGCTGAAACCACTGCTGATTGCCCTTGTCCTTTCAAAAATGCCAAATGATCAAATCATGTAGTTTCATCATTAAGGAGTCTGTCAATGACTGACACAGAAGGTGCTGTTGAGCTATTCTGAGGGCCATCTCGGCGTTACCGTGCAGCAGCTCGAGGTGCTATATCGTCATCTATCAGTAAAGCCCCGCGCTGTCCTCCAAGCCGTGATTGCTGGAGAATCCGGGGTCAGGCTAATAATGATTCCTGCCCCATTAATTTTACTGCTCCATCCAGGACTGGACCCTCTTAAGAGTGGCATGTATTTAATTAATCATCCCATCCTGATGCCTGGTCACTGGTCGCCCTATCTATCTTTCACTATCCCCTTCCAGATGAGTAAAGAGGGCTTTTCATCAAGAGTGGAGAAATGGAAAAATGGGAGATTTAATTAATACTCTTCTATTTTTCCCTCCCCCGTGTCCTTTTCTTCTTCTTCTTCTTCTTCTTCTCCTGTCAGACTAATAAAGGTGACGCGTTGGCCAGTCGCGTCCAGAACACGCTGGGCTCCTACGAAGAGATGAAGGACCTGTTAACCAGCCACTCCAACCAGAGCCACTTGGTGGGAATCCCCAAAGGCAGCGCCGCCAACAACAACCTGCAGCAGACCCCGACCACCTCCAGCACAGAGAGACCCGCCATGGAGCCCAGCCAGCTGTTCAACGAAGCGCTGAGAGGAGGAACCGGTGGTGGAGGAGGAGGAGGTGGAGGTGGAGGAGGTGGAGGAGGAGGAGCAGCAGCAGAGGGAGGTGGAGACAAGAGGACGGCGCCTTCTTCATCTTCAGCTTCGATGCAACCACCCGCTTCGACCACGTCTTCGTCGAACGCGACGACGGTCCCGCATCAGAAGAAGTCCCGGAGCTCCATGGACTGGTCGAGGGGAGGCCACGGGCAGAGTACCCAGGCAACGGGCCTCGTCCTGGGGCTGGGGCAGAACGGACAGGGGCAGGCGGCGGCGGCGGCAGCAGCAGCAGCAGCAGCTACGAGCAGCAGAGGGAAGATGTCTTTATTAGAGGAGCAGCAGATGCAAAGGCATGAGGAGCTGTTCAGCTCACTGAAAGATGAACTGGGTCTAAAAGAAGATTCAAGCCCTTCTTCCTCCTCTTCGTCCTCCTCGTCCTCCTCTTCCTCCTCTAGGAGACACTCCTCCCACCCATCCAAAACCCATCCCCTCCCAGGTGAGTCCCAAACAGAAAGGCCTCAGAGGAAGAGCTGGGATCTTTCATTGGCTGTTTGGTGAATTATCACGTCTGAGCGTTAAAGTCACAGATTAGACTGACTTTACTGATCCCCAGAGGGAAAGTCAGCAGCATGAATATTCAACAAAGGGGGGAAACAAAAACAAAAAGACAACACAGGAAATTAGGGTAGGCTGTAAAAATGAAGGTAAAATGAAATAAGATAAAAAATATAGAAGAAAAAGTCAACAAAATTTACAAGAATATACAAGAGAGATACAGAAACGTGCAAATAGCTAAATTTAGCATAAGAGCTGGTGAACTGCTGGCTCGACTGTCCAAAAAATGATAAATCTTCTTCGATGTCTAATTTGATCATGTATCAGGGTTGTTCTAATAGTTCATTTTTTAAAATTTGTACAGTTTCCAATATTTATGCTCACCAAAGCAAATAAACTCCTCTTTTTAAATTCATATTTAGGTTACAAACATGAGAGCGCTGTCGTTTATTCTCATTTAACTAACTAAGCAGGTAAATGTCTGATTGCTCCATTCTGAGGCGTGTGGAACATTTCATTCACAATGTGGTTGATTAAAGCCGTCACTCCACAGAAAGCTGACTTTTTGTATCAACACGTTCTAGAAGACGTGAATTATCCGTTTCTTTGTTTTTGCTTGAGCCACCAGCGCTGGTGCATAATTTAAGTGAATAATTTGAGTGAAAAACAGACTCTATCACCTTTTATGAAAATTAACACCTGCATCACGCGGCTGATTTCAAAAACCGCCATCAGCGCATAATTTGCTTTGATTGTGATTGGCTGCATCCATCTGGAAGGCAGAACTTGTGGCATCCAACCCCTGCCACCACTGCGACAGGTGTTTCTTTGGTTAACTTTGACTCTTCTTCTGGTCGTCTTCTTTTTCCCGTCTCTCGTGCAGATGGTGCCAATTTTCGATCTGCTCCCATCGACGGCGGCCACTTCAAGTCTTCCACTAACGCGGAAAATGGTGGACATTTTAAATCCTCCCCGTTTGAAAACGAAGCCGGCTCCCACCTCTCGACGTCGTCCTCGCCGCTGGCTTCCACGTCGGTCCTGACCACGCCCACTCCCGGTTTGACCACGCCCACGTCGGGACTGACCACGCCCACCTTCCCACCTGGTAGCCTTGCGGGGAAGCCGATCGCGGTGCAGCAGAAGCCCACGGCGTACGTCCGACCAATGGACGGCCAGGACCAGGCGCCCAGCGACTCCCCGCAGCTGAAGCCCCCTCTAGTGGCCACAGAGGGATTTAACAGCAGTCAGGCTTACGGAGGAAACTCTGGAAATGTGAAGAACAAACTGCCAAAGCTGAGTCTCGGCCACACGGGAGAGGTAAGACCGCTACCTGTTGTCCGCATGGAATGAATGAGGACTGATTGAAAAGTCGGTTAGATGATCCCAGCTGTGGCAGATCACACAGATCACGCCAAGGAATTTTAAATACTTAAAAAAAGAAAGTCATAACAGCTCAAGTACTTATTAGTACTTCATGTTTTTGTGTTGTTATTTACACACCAGCAGACAAACACACTGTAGACAATAGCAACATATTACATCGTACGGTGACCTCATTTATAATATATTAGCAGCAGCTGTTTCCGTCATAGCACGTGTTATTATTTTAATTTAAAAGTCCCTTTAATAGGTTGTATGAAAACACAGTAACCTTAACATCCATTCATATTTACCAGTGTGTTCAGAAATCATCCATAAGTCTATTTTTAAAGCTCCTGAGAAACATTTTCAGCTCCTGCTTTTCTGGATTTTTCCCGTTGACTCTTGACTAAATAATAAAAAACTGGGGTTGAAATTTCTGACTGACAAAAAGAAAACAACCCGTTTAACAAACTCTCATCACCAGAGCTGTAACCGGTTAGACTGGAATCATACTTTCTCTTCAACCAAATTTATTTCGGGGAAAACATTTCTGCACATTATCTCTAAACAGACTGAGTGCACTGAGCACACTCTACCTTCTGGCCTTATTAGCCTGAATGAATTAAAAAATAATCAGAAAAAGTCAGCGTTTGCAGCGATTTGAATCGTTTGAGTTTGGTTATTTCTCAACTGAAATGGTAATTGCAAACTCGGAGCGGAGCAGCACGTATTCATATGGTCTCTGGAAATAGAACTTTATCGACTGATGGTCTCGGCAGACAAACAAATATGGAATATGTAAGAGTAGACGAGCTCGCTGCTTGATTTGAGATGATGTATACAAACTGGGATATATGAGCTGAACAAAATACAGCCACAAAGACGACCTCGTTGACGCCGTGTCCGTTAGTTTGGAGCCGAGTGAACGTTCAGTAAATGTTAAACATAGCAGCCTCCATTAGACAAGTTTAAATTTGGTGGTTTGTTCCTCCCGTAACCAGAAATAAAGCTGGAAGGCTGTGGATGTAGAGACTCACTGAATAATTGTCCAGCCAATGAGAATGTGGTCGTATGAGAATATATTAAGCAGCCAGTCGTCCTGGTCATCCTGTAGACGTTTTAATTAGACTAAATTGGCGCTGTGACGTGACATCTTGCTTTTTCTAACCGCAAACTAGTGAGAAAGGAAACACAGAAGCCTGTTCATTCAAATACAAAACAGGCGTTCATGTAGAATACCATCACTCTTTTAAAAAAAAGCTAAAAGAAAATTGGATTTCAGGGCCTTTAAATTCTCCTAATGACATAATTTGACTGGGACGTAAACAACTTGTTAGTCATTCTCTAAAACTGCCATCCGGGCTGTTCGTATTTAGCAACGATTTCTGATCTAATTTGTGTTTGACAGCCAAAATTGTATTTTTATCAAATCACAAAAATGTAATAATTAACTGACTCTATGGACACATCATGCGTTTAGTCGTATGTTTGACAAATTTACAATTCTAATATCTGTACAGCAAATCATCGGCTAAACGACGGCACGCTATAGCGTAGCATTACTCATGCCGCAGACGTAGCGTTTGATAAAACAGACCTCTCTCAACACCTAAAATTATTCATGAGCATCTGGTTGAGATGGTTAACGGTGACACATGCTGTCATTTTTTTATTCTCTTCTGACGCCGAGCGCATGTTTGCATTTCTTTTTTTCCCTTTTCTGACTCGATTCCAGCCGCCGGTATTATTTAGTTAAATAATATCATGATGAATATTCACACGTTGGGCTAATTGTTATGTCAAACGAGTCTGACGAAACCCAACTCCTCCACGAGTCGCTCGCTCACTTAACTTTCCGACCTGCTTCTCTCTCTATCTGTCTATCGCTCACTCGCTTTGCTTCTCAAAACGGCGAGAAAAGGCTTGATGATGATGATGTGTGTGTGTGTGTGTGTTGTGTGTGTGTGTTGTGTGAAACTAGTTGACAAGCGAGTAGTCATCCATATCGAGCGAGCCAGCTGTTCCTGTGCTTTGATAGAGCCGGTGTGTGTGCAGCGCTGCAAATGAGCCCGAGATGGAGCTTTGAGCATATGGCACCGAGAAGGAGAAAAGCGAAGGGGGAGACGATGGAGGAGGGGGGAGAGAGAGAAGGAGGTAGGGAGGGGAATTAAAATATACTTTCAACACTTTCTTATGGAGGGCGAGCGGGAGAGCATTCATGGCCATGAGTGGTTTCTTTCACTTTGTTTTTCACCCACACATCCACGGTGGATGTTTGGGGGGATTTTTTTGTTGTTTTTTTCTTCACTCCTCTCATATTTACTCTGGCGAGGGTTTATTGGAAGGAAAATGTAAACTGGATACGGACTGAGGGGGAGGAAAAAGAGGCATGGGGGGGGAGTGATGATGATGAGAGACGTGGGATGTAGGGAGGGAGGGAGAAAGACAATGACTGACTGATTACAGCACCTTATCATTGCTGTATTTGTTCTGGTTAGATGAGTTATTGGATGCGTTCTGCAGCTTAAACAGCAAATAGCAGCAAATCGGAGGCCTGAACCAGAAAGCAAATGAAAGGCTTCGAGAATTTATGCCGGTAATCGAGGAGAGGGGGGCGAAAATGTCCACTTTTTAAGCTTTTGATTAGAGAATCTGTGCTCTGAAAGTTAAGCTTTAGCAGCAATAGTCAGTCGGTTGTTATGTCTCAACAAAGAGACCAGTAGGTCCAGCAGGAGCTCCACATGCGTCTCCGAAAGGAAATATTTAATGCTGCTATTCTATTTCATCCAGTATGTCGTGTTGCTCTCCCTCCTGCAGCTGTCTTTTTATAACAATGCATTGAAATAGGCAGCAAATAAACCTTTAAATTTGATGCAGCGGGCTTGTATTGTCAAATAAAGGCTCAATGTTGGGTTAGGGTTCGTATACAGTGCATATTCATACCCGTCCATTAAAGAAAAGGCAAAATTCACAATAATCACTCAAATAATTAGAAACTGAAAAAAGTAATAATAAATAAAAATTTGCTAAATTATAATTTAGTGAAACAAGACATTGCTTTTGAATTGTGGTTGAAAAAAATAATTTAAAAAAGCTGTCCCGCACAAATCAGAGCACTTTGCTGATGAGCAGTGAAATCCAAACACCTGTCAACAGGTGCAGAAGTCTGATGGTGAGTTAAAGAAAACATTTGATTGCAGTGATTGGATTAAAGGATTGTTCAACTAAATATTAGTTTACGGGACCCGTCATGCTTTATTTTAATTTTATTTTTTTATATTTCTGTTGAACCACAACTCAAAAGCAACGTCATGATTTTCATTAATTTTTTATTCATTATTACTTTTGTCAATTTCAACTTATTTCAGCTGTTTTTTTCTTCTTTAATGGGAGGGTTTGAATACATTCAACAATTTCCCAGAGGTCTCTACCAAAGGGATCAATAAAGTTCTATTCTATTCTATTCTATTCTGTTCTATTCTATTCTATTCTACATTTGACGCCGGTATGTCATGATCTACTTGCACCTCATCATCATTCCGCTATAGGCTCGTTTGCATTTCTTTAAACCAATCACAATCAGCTCGGGTGAAGATGCAGCTTTGTGACGGTGTTGTGGGCCGACTTACTGCTCCATCTAAATCCCAGACTTGACATAATGAGTGTGAAGGGTTGCTACCAAAAGAGGTTGTTTCCTGTCCTGAAGTGGGTTTTAAAAACATGCAGGTAGCAGAAGAACAGAACAGAACCACTGGCAGGGTT